ACGCTGTCACTATTACAATTTTTACCGTGCTTATTTCGATGTAATGTGCTGTGCTCCTTTGAGCGGCATTCATGAAAACTCTTCACACTCTACGTTTTCGTTCTCATCCCCCCCCCGCCCTTGTGTTGGAAATGTGGATAAGAGTCTACCATATTGTTACGCAGTCCTTCTTCCCTAGGTCTTATCACAGTCTCTCTCTTACCCCGTAAGATTTGCCTGCTCTCTCCCTAGTTCACGTATTTCATTCGACCCCTGCCACCATATCTGTGCTACTCGATGCGTTATTCGCCCTCTCCTGCGTCTGGGTGACTAATTCGAGGCTAAAGCCTCTGAATAAGTCTCAATGTCACGGCTTTGCTACATGGACTACGTCTCTGGTAAAACCTACTGTTAACCAACTAACTCAAGTCTCCGCCGCGTCTATCCTGTTTCTATCCCTAATACCAACTATATGACATCTCATGCCCTATTTTCTTGTGTGCCAACCCACAAATGTTGTGGTACTGTTGGCTTTGATTAGGTTCAACGTTTATTGGTTGGAGACTATACAACGAAAGGAGACTGCGACCACACAATAGACACACCATCTTGGTCATCATACCTTCGATTAAAGCATCTTTTAGTTCATAGGCAACAAATAATACAATTTAAATTAGGAGATGCAAATTATTTAGGTGATATCACAAATTACCTAGTGGAATATCTGTCCGAAGCCCGTAATATCTTAACAAGAAAAACATGGAGGCATAGCCATAATTTTTATAAATTGATCAATATAAGAAAATGGAGAAAATGGAGCTAGATGAAATGCAAAGTAAGCATAATCAAAGATGGAAAAGATTAAAACAACCAAAGAAACGTCCAAATTAAAAAAAATTAGAATTCTAGACAAATTATTTGCCGTAACTCATGTCGGGTTCGGTCAAGGTGGTTTATTCGTAATAAAAAAGTAAATTCTGGGCAGAGAAATAGATAATATTGAATTAATTCCATAAAAAGTGGCTAAAATAAAAATTACTCACTTTTAATACATATGTTTCTTGAATTTCCCTATCCAATGAACCAACCAGTCGGATCCAGCCGTCTGAGTCGATTGAAAACTGACGCAACAGTGACATCTGCCAACTGGCACTAGAAATACTGTCGCTAATTCCAACACCAGGTCGAGCCAAACCCAAAGCTAGTGTTTCTAAACGAGAGTCTAACAGGCCCGATCCTGTAATATCAGGCCAGACTAACGAGTAAGTAATCAAGTCATGACCGTTTGCATCGGCATCTGAGGCTCGCACCTGCAAGAGCCTTTTTCCTACCGGGGCGTCCTCAGCCACGGAGACGGAGTAACTGGAGAGCATTTGAAAAACAATAAAGCATACGAACATTAAGCCAAATCATCAGAAAAGGATAGCCGATCAATTGATACTAATTATTAGAATAATTCCATAAATGTTCAACGGTGACCAGCTGGAGACCGGTAAATTAAAGATCTGCGATGGAAAAGTGCTGTACCTAGATAAAAACAGTGAAAATGTGGCTATCGCCATATGGAAGCTAAAGTGTAAAACAAACAAGTTTTTTTAGCTAAATTATCTTTGAAAACACAATAACAATAATGTTAATACTTATATAAAGTTACTAGCAAAATATTTTATAGAAACCCTCTTAAGCAATTGTCAGAAATAAAAATAGTATGACCACAAAATCAAGCTCTGAGATAAAACAATAAAATTTGAGAAGAGCCATTAGAGCAAAAGTAGTTGGAAGATTATGAGCATAATTTCAGTTTCACAACGTTTTTGTAAAATAAGGGCTCATTAATTAGAGATATCATAAATATTGGGGTGATGATTTCTGATCAATAGGGCATTTATTTAAACATATCAGATTACAGAAGCCCTTATATACTGTCCTCAGTCCTTAAAAAAAACAAATAAAGAAAGAAACCTTTAAAGTAGAACAATATTCTGATCACAACGTGAGGCAGAAAATTAATCAATAAGGATGATCCACCAGATACAATAGTAAATTAATTAAAATGAAATACTCCTTGATTCTACACAAGATATAAATATAACATAATTGGTATGAGATATATTCATTCTATTTCATTTAAAGTGATAAGGGGATTGGTAGCTTCAATTTCCGACTATGG